TTAAAAACACCATCGAGGGTTGGATGTAAAAACTCTGTTCTTCAGAATTTTATATTCTGGTGGCTAGTTTTGCTGTTATCAAATAAGTTTGGCAATGTATGAAGAGTTACATAGTTGATAACATATCTTAATGCTAATTCTTTGTACACAGCCTTAGAAGAGAATTTCAAGATGAGAGCCGACGCTTACAAGAATGTTGCCAGAAAATGTTGCATTGTACAGAAGAGACTATGTCGAACTATATATTTAAGTAACTTAAAATCAATTAAATAGTTGATCGTACATAAAAACATACAAATTGCTTTGATTTGGAAAATGTAAAGGAAGATAAATCTACATGGATCATCTTGTCTAATGTAAGTACACTACCTTATTTTTAAAATTAGATTTGGAAACTTTAATATTATGTTATAAAATTTTTCTTTAAAAACTCGCAAATAATAATCTTGCTCATTTAGGAACATATATTTAAGAATATAATTTACAAATAATACGATTTAGCAATTCTTTTATAAAGCTGAAACTTGGGTCTTAAGTGTTAATGCTAAGGTATACTTAAATATAATTGAGCTTTTAACTAACTGAAACCGTGTCTTAAAGAACTTTTTTTTTTTTTGAAGCCTTCTGTGACAGTTACTTTAAATTAGACATATATGTCCGGGTAATTTACTTTTCCTGAATGGTTCTAGTTATTATAGTGCACGTAAAATTCGAATCGATTTAATTTCGCCATTTGCCTGTTGCCAGTTTTCCCAAGACAGCTGCAAAAGGAAGCGGTATTTAATTAAAATCCCATCTTTTAAACTACGGTGCAAGACGAAGTTTTAAAAATATATACGCATAATTTTTCCGTTTCCACTTACCTGTTTAATTTTGCAATCTTCTCGTGAAATTAGTTTTGGTCTCCTTGTTTATTTTTATTTCTTAAATCCCTCTTATTTCCTTTCAGGTAATGGCAGCAAATTTTAGGTAACAAATTCGGTTTAGAGATCACTTGCTAGCATTACTTAGTCGCACATTTTTCGTTTTTTTTAAATGCAACATAGCTTACAATAATTCATTTCATTTCATTTTTATTTTTTTTGAATAGCGAGAAAAAGAATATTTAAGTGAAATATGCTTCCAAGTTTCTTCAGAAATCAAGCAAATAAACGCGTGCTTAAAGTTTGACACACTTACTCTTTTATTATATTTTTGATTACAGTATGTTAATTGCATTTATAAATATCCCAATTCATCGTCTACTTTTCTGTTTGAAAACATGATGGTTCTACCTAGGGATTGCAAAATTATTCATATTCAAATGATTTGCGTTATTTAATCCTAAGTTTACAAGTCTCTGTTAAAGATTTATAAAATTATAGATGGTTTTAGTATATTATAGCTTATAATTAATGTAAAAACATACTAATATATATAACAAGAGTAAAAATTTTGCATTTGTGGGAAAGGTGGTAAAAGTGTGCGTGATCAAAATGTTACAGATTCAATCTTTGCTCTGTGTTTGGGGATGGGTTTACTTTAATGTACCTAAATATGTAATAGGGGAATCATATCCTTTACTCCTTGGTCACTACGCCATGGTAAATGAAGAAGACATCTCTGTGAAAGTACTGCTGAATTGCATTTCAACGTTGGGAAGAACGATCATGGAACACAAGAAACACTATCGTATGCATAGGTATTGAAACATATAGCCTTCAGTGCTCCATTGGTGGAGGCATTAGAAAAATAATAAAACACAAGGAATCGATGAAACACATTTTGGTAGGCCATCCACTACGATTATAACATCCACTGTGAATGATAACTTATTTGTAGATACTGAATAATGATTATTAAGCAAACGTAGTTAGTTCCCTGAGCATAAATTGGATCTATTTTCGCCTAAACGAGGTTCAAAAGTTACAAAAGGTCTATATTTTTTAATGGTTGCCAGTGCATATCAACATCACAGGTAACGAGAACGCGGGTAAAGTGGCAGAAGAGTCTTGAAATCTCAGTTATAAAAACATGAAAATATCACCCTCTAGGAAACAAATGCCGTGGCCAAGTACAAATTAAAGGAATATTTAATTCCAATAAAGAACCAGCTCCAGAACCTGAATGGGGATCGACGTATACCTAAATCCATAGTCAGGCTTAGAAATGGCCATTACAGAGAAGTGGAAATCGACATAGAGAGTAGGAAAACCTATAGAAAATGCGATAGCTGCCCGGATACAGAATAGACAACTGCGCACATTTTTGATTGTCTAGGCATCTTTGCTGAACTGTTAAAAGCTGGGATTTTGTTAGCGAGACCGAACCTCTACGATGGTAACATTTTGCAGATTGTTAGGGCTACCATTTCCGTCCATGGCACTATTTGAGTAGGCTTTCTCATAGACACTACAACAACAACTTAAAAAACTAAGAAAATACTACACAGAATATTTACATTTTGTGATATCAACAAGAAGATAAAATCTTCTAAACTTGGACATTGAAGGTAAATATAAATATTTTTACGATAATGAGTATAAACAATCAGCAAAACAGGATTAATAGCTATCTCTTATGCTGTTTTTGATGTTAATGAGCTGCATGGGTACTAATTGATCACGTATAGAAGTTCTTGCCCACTTAGGTTTTGGCGAGGAAGATGGAAGCTAGCAACACGTCTACCGAGATGTTCCTATGTATTCTTAAAGAGATTAAGATCGTGTTAATAATTTAATTTGGACTACAGTTTATTTTTCAAAAATTGTTGTATGCGTCGCGCAGTGTACGTGAGCGTATTATCCTCTTGCAAAATTGAAGTATCGCCAATTGCGGCAGTATACGAACAAGCAGTAGGATCCAGTATATCGTCTCTGTATCTCTGAGCATTGAAAGATCCATGGGGTAGCACATAGAGGTCTGTACGCCCACCTACAGATACTCCACGCCATACAAGAATACTACCTCTTACAGAGGTATCCTTTTCCCGTATGTTAGACAGATGATATGGACTATTTGCTTCTCGTCACAAGCAAACACGTCGGGAATCACCCTGTAAAGTAAAGTAGTACTTATCAGTGAATATAACACATCTTCACTGATTTTTCAGTACAGTGTGCATGACTATGCAACAGTTCAAAGGCTTTCTTCAGTGGTGGAAGGTTGTCCGCTAGGTGATTGTTCCTTAGGACGTAAGTCAACCCGCTGGTGAGTAGTGGAAGATAAGCGGGGCGCACAATGCCGCTCATATAGCATACAGACCTCTTTCATAAAGTCCTAAATTTACTGTTGCGTCTGATGCTGTCTTTCCTGTAGCATAAATAAGCGTAGATATAAGCTTAGATGGAGTTGCACTCCTGCTTGGACGTAGTCGCAAGTACCAGGCATCTGTAGAAGTGGCAATTGTTGGCCTACATTCTGTAGGTCTTCGAGAAGCTGAACCAGTTGTTAGAAATTAGTTCTACATCCGGCGTACCACTGAATGGTCGATATTTAGTCATCTTGCAACGCCAGACTGTCACGGACCTGCTTCTAATCGGCATACGTCTCTGTAAAGCAATTCTGATGGCTGATGTCCCCCCCCCGAACTCATGTTTACTCTCTGGATATCTCGAAATCTCGAAACTCTTTAATATACCATCGTTCATTGAACGGCGATTCTTTTCTGAATAAATAATTGTCTAAAATGTATCTTTTTTGGCGTAAAACGATGACAATGTCACTCTTTTGCGTAATTCTACTCACTGCAACTTGATTTTATTTGCAACATATCCAGTTTCAAGAATTTCGTATTTATTTTAGTAAGTTTATCGCAGTTTTTCATTCCATTGCTTAATTTTTGGAAACGAGAGTAGTTCATGTTTTTGAATCGTCCATAAGATGTTGTAAAACTAGATTCTAATCTAGAAAGAGAGAAACAAGAAACGAAACAAAACACAGTATTTGTAGAGTATTTGATTTGAATAAAAGCATTTTGAATTATTTTTCAAGTTCAAACTAACCTAGGAGAACTCATCCCACTAACACTGATCTATTCTTCACCCTTGTTAGCAATGCATGTGAAGCACCGATAACCAACAAGAATAGAAAATTCGAAATGGCTTTGCAAAACTGTAGTTCTTACACCAGTATTAAAAACAAAAAAATAAATACAAACAATGAAGTTTAAAACCTATGAAGACATCATTAAATAAAAATGTGTTCATAGGTTTTAAATGAGCGACATCCAATATATTTTTAAAAATTTAATTGACAAGATTTAATTAAACTAATAATAAATTTACTTTGAGTTTTCTTAGAAACCTATTATAGAATTTTTTCTAGATTTTTTATTCATTTTATTAGAGCGTATATATTTAAAATGCGCAAAACTATATTATTAAATTTGAAATGATTTACAATAAAAAATTTTCATGAAGAAATTGCTCATGAACTTAACTTAAAGGGAACATAATAATAACAACACTTTAGTTTTCTCCCTTTTGCTACAAGTAAAAGCAAAGGTAATTATTATAAAGACAGCAGGAATCGTCATGTTTGCTAATTCTGAGAATATACTTTTTTTATTTAAAGATGAGTGCTTTTGTGCCATTGTGAGATTTCTACTAAACAGACTATTTTAAATAACTAGCACAAGTCTATTAAACATATCCTAACATTATCAAACAACTGTTATCTAACTGATAACATAACAACGTTTTAAAAGTTTCATCCATGACCATCATTAAATAAAATCGAAATATTCAGTCTTACAATCTTATGCATCTGGTGATTAAAACTGGGTGACATAAATCTTAAGAATCAGGCGAAAATGAAGAAAACATCAAATTGAATATCAACTTGAGTTTATGTAGACAATGGCATTTCGAATTCATACGAAACGAACGATGTTAGAAGAAGAGGAAGTATATATGCGTGCGTTCATGCAACATGATCATGACAGTGACATACAGAGACAGTGAAGAAGAGAAAAAGAAAAAAAAGAAGAGGAAGAAAGAAAGACAGGTCGTGTGACATACATTGAGATCTACCTGTGCATATGCACCATAAGCACCGAACTGGTTGAACATGAAAGGGTTGAGAAGTCCCATGTTACCAGCCATTTGCTGCATCCGCCTCAGCTGCCTTTCTTTTTCTGTGTCGGCGAACTTCACGACTAGGCTAGACGATGCCCCCTGAAACAAAAAACAATGAAAAACAAAATTAATGTTAACAAACAGATTGTACATTCATAATTACTTCAATATGCACGCCGAAGCGAAGTTATACAGTTAGAAATCTCATTGAATTGTACACAGTGTCTACAAAAACTTTTGTCTGCCCTTTAGTTTTGCAATCGTTGGTCAAAGACATATATTTCCAATCTCAAAAATGTTTTAAATGACACAAATGTTCATGTTTCGACATTTTTAAATTTAAAAAAATGAGTATTTTGAAATTTGAAAAACCTAACACTCCTGTGCTTATATTCAGGAACATTTTCTACTAGTTATAAAAAATAAGACAAAAATGTATGACTCCCATACAACAAAAAATGACTGAGATAATAGTATTAAAATCGAACATCATCCTTAGGAGCCGTACACATATTGAAGAGCGAATTGTTTGCATTTGTACGCAACTAAAAATAAACAATTAGTTAGGAAAAAATATTTGAAGTGAAGAGATTAAGTAACAAAACAATTAGTTCGGAAGTGAAGAGATTAAGTAACAAAACAATTAGTTCGGAAGTGAAGAGTAACAAAACAATTAGTTAGGAAAAGGTTCTGAAGAGAAGAGATTAAGTAACAAGCACGAATGTGTAGATTAGTGTGAAAAGTATTAGTCAATATAATTTTTTTTAAATGGTAATTTTATTCACAGAATTTTACAGAATGTGTGTTTTCGAAAAAACTGGCAGGCTTCAGGACTGACACACAGATAGCTCAAAATATTATTTGTGTCAATTAAAAATTAAAAATATTTGAAATTTATTGATTTTTTTGTACGATTACCAAATTATTATTTTAAAGTAAAACTTCACGGCAGTGGCAAAAGCGTATTTTTAGAATGTGAAAGCTTATAAATTACTTGTGTGAAAATTCTTTCGACATAGAAACTGTAACAAAATTATAAATTAAATACACTAATAAATAAAAAAATCTTTGAATGATATTTAAGAGGACGACCAACCTCAAATTATTCTAGTTTGTTTATTATCTGACCTTTAATTGCAAATTGTAGGTGACCTCAGACCTCGACAGTCTGAGGTCACCTACAATTTTGTTGTACGGGAGTCGAACCTTTTATGCTTCATATTTTATAATGAGTACAAAAGGTTATATAGGGACTGGAAGAAGGTATAAAATGTATGATTTCTTAATTTTTACAAAAATTATTTCTTTAAATTAAAAAATTTTGAAGCATGAATAATTGCATCATTTTAAATATTTTTATGACTAGAAGTATATGTCTATGACCAATAGTTGCAAATACATAAAGGGGGGGGTAAAGACTTGTGGAAACACTGTGTAACAAATTAAATTTTAATAATCAGTAAAATCTGACATAGGTATCAATTTCAAAAGAAAAACTCAGTGCATAATTAATGTATAATTAATTATCAGTGCATGCAGTATTTGGTTTGTGATTAAACGGAGAGAAAAATTCGAAATACAGCGTAATATCGGCGAGGTTTTTTAAAACTGGACATAATTTATTAAATGAGCAAAAATTGTGATTCCGAACATCTCTTTTAAAGCTTTCATGAATATTTATATTATGTAACTTTCATAAGTATTTACATTTTGTAACTTTCATGAGTATTTATAAGTATACCAAAACCCTTTGGATGGTTTTTTAGGTTAAAGCAGTGTCAGTTGTGTGTGGTTAAAGCAGTGTATTTTAGCATCCATATCACAAGCGTTTCTTTTCGTACCTTGAGCAGAAGCCCTATTTATCCCTATGTGTGCGTCACGAGGCTCATCCAATCAGCGATATTAATTGAAATCACGAGGTGACGCTATCTTCTCATCAGGAGTGTTCTTAAGGACTTTATGTAATATGACAGATTTATGAGTTTGGCGATTTGGCGGGCGCCAACAGGTTAATATATTTTATACTAAAGAAAGGATTTCTCCAAAATTTAGGAACAGGGATGCGATTTAGGTAGAGATTCGCCAATACATTATTAAGCAATATTAATAGAATTTAATTTAATCAATTGATTTAAAAATATCATTACATATATATATGCTAAACTATTAATAACACAAGTAACATGTTATCATTTCGAAAGATATTCAACAAGTAGAAGTGAAGAATGTGGACTGACATATGAAATTCATCTATCTGCAAACCATGATCAAAGACCACACTTCTCTAACAAGTACATTTTCGTGCTGAAAAATGAAGATCCTTATTGCAGTTACAGTCACGATATGCAGAACTTTATTATTAATTAAAAAGTAAAGGAAATAGGTTAAAGGTTTAGAAATTAAATGAGCTCATAGTACATCTTTAATGATAAAACCGGTAAAAATTAGACTAGAAGAGAAACACGCTAATGTCACAATCAAAATCGTAAAAACAACCTTGTATTTAGCGTAAGTATAATGAAACACTCAATCGATTTCGAGGGCAGCTAAAGGTCCCTCCTCATCAGGAGAAAGAAATACCTAGAAAGAAGAAAATAAAGGAGAAGGAGTCTCAGAAATACGTGGTCCTTATCAGCACTGCACGTGGTATAACTGGATTTTTAATCAGAGTTGCACTGGCCGCCTTCTCATAAAGCATAAAGGACAAGAAAAATTAGCGAATTTAAAATAGGGAGCGAGGGGCAAATGCACCTTCACGCTCAAAATCTAAACTTCAAATAATGAAAAGCAACCACTAAACGGATTTTTATACCCTCTGGTAGTACCAAACGCGAGGAGGTAGCGCCATCTATCGGCAAAAATAACTGAATTAAGATAGTAGAATTTTAAAGGCATTAGGAAGGACTGGATTGGACTCAAATCATTAAACTAAACTTGCTAAATCTTTGTGAATGTGAAAAGCCTCAAGAAAATCCAATTCACCTATGAAAGAAGCCTTTTGGATAATTTTTGCAGACCCAAAGTCAAAATTATGGTTAAATGTCCAACTATGATACGCTAGACTTGTTAATTTCACCTTTTCTGACATAAGATTCATCTTCCTTGTTACGAAACTTCAACGCTCTTTTTGTTTGGCCAATATATCTTAAACCACATTGACACGATACACTATAAATTCCCCAAGAATTTAAGACAGAAACGCAATCTTTTAGAATCGAATGGTGAATTTTATTAATAGGGGAGAAACCGACTTGAAAATTGAATTTCTGGAGAATCCCTGCAATTTTATAGCTAACAGAAGGATAAAATGGAAGCACGACAAGGTCATTAATATTATTTCTAACAGTGGAACGTCTTCTTTGATGGGAATCTGAAAATTTTTTAACGGCCTCTATTCATAATCCTCTATTATAATCCTCTATTCATAATCCTCTGTTATGAATTCAATTGATCCAGCCATCCAATTCACTCTTGAAATTGAATCCAACAATTCCCTCCCCTTCGTTGATATTCTTATAATCCGCAATGAAACTGATTTTAGCACTGCTGTGTACCGTAAACTCTTTGCAGTTTGTTTACCACCCCATGCCTAGTCATGCCACCCTGTTAAGCAAAAAATGGCTTCTTTTTACTATTATGTATTCCGCGCGCTTAAAGTTTGTTCCTCTGAATCTTTGCTTACCAATGAACTTAATTATTTGAGAGCAGTTGCGATTGACCGTGGATTTTCTCCCGTTGATAAAGTCGTTAAAAAATTTTCAGATTCCCATTAAAGAAGACATTCCACTGTTAGAAATAATATTAATGACCTTGTCGTGCTTCCATTTTATCTTTCTGTTAGCTATAAAATTGCACGGATTCTCCAGAAATTCAATTTTAAAGTCGGTTTCTCCCCTATTAATAAAATTCACCCTTCGATTCTAAAAGATTGCGTTTCTGTCTTGAATTCTTGGGGAATTTATAGTATATCGTGTCAGTGTGGTTTAAGATATATTGGCCAAACAAAAAGAGCGTTGAAGTTTCGTATCAAGGAACATGAATCTTATGGGCTGCTTCCATAGGTGAATTGGATTTTCTTGAGGCTTTTCACATTCACAAAGATTTAGCAGGTTTAGTTAATGATTTGAAGTCCAATCCAGTCCTTCCTAATGCCTTTAAAATTCTACTATCTTAATTCAGTTATTTTTGCCAATAGATGGTGTTACCTCCTCGCGTTTGGTACTACCAGAGGGTATAAAAATCCGTTCAGTGTTTGCTTTTCATTATTTGAAGTTTAGATTTTGAGCGTGAAGGTGCATTTGCCCCTCGCTCCCTATTTTAAATTCGCTAATTTTTCTTGTCCTTTATGCTTGATGAGAAGGCGGCCAGTACAACTCTGATTAAAAATCCAGTTATACCACGTGCAGTGCTGATAAGGACCACGTATTTCTGAGACTCCTTCTCCTTTATTTTCTCTTTTTTCTAGGTATTTCTTTCTCCTGATGAGGAGGGACCTTTAGCTGCCTTCGAAATCGATTGAGTGTTTCATTATACTTACGCTAAATACAAGGTTGGTTTTACGATTTTGACCGGTAAAAATTGTTTGAAAAAGGTGCTCATTTGAAAGAGACGGATCATAACTCTATAAAGTGTATGCTTTTCCCTCTCTTCTTAACGCTGTTTATTGTTATTGAAATTTATAACATTTTCACCCTAAAATGCGCAAGGGGCTATATAAGAATATGACTCGTAGTTATAGAATAATAAAGAAGGAATTTGATCATGCTGGATTAAGAAAATTGAACTATAGCTTATGTTATTATAGCTCTTTGATCTCTGTCTTTCGGTTTGTCAATTAACAGTACCATTAATTTTAATTTGACAAAGCTTACCACCTTGAATATAAACTATATACCACCTTCCGATAAAGATTTATTGAATAATGCTATATAGGCATTCATCCGAAATCCGATAAATACTTTGTAAATGGATTTAAATATAAACTATATTCTAGTTTCCGATAAACATTCATCGAATTTTATTATACAGGTGTTCATCTGAAGTGCGATAAATAGTTTATGGATGGTCGTTTATGAAGATAACTTTACCTGACATAGTTT